AGAGGTGAATGCATTCTTTGATAAGCTTGCTGTTGAGAAGGAAGTTGAGTGCCCACCTCCCAGAACAACAGCCCGTTTACTGGACAAAGTAAGTTGCCATATTTTAGAACAATATTCCCCCTTTTGAGCCGTTGAGAATTTTTTGACATAATTTCAGCTTGTCGGTGAGTTTCTGGAGTCAACTTTTGTCTCTCCTACATTCCTAATTGGCCATCCGCAAGTGATGTCGCCGCTGGCAAAGTGGCACCGGTCGATTCCCGGCTTAACTGAGAGGTTTGAACTTTTTGCCGTCAAGCGAGAGATCGCCAATGCTTATACAGAACTGAACGACCCGCTCACTCAAAGAGCTCGTTTCGAACAGCAAGCGAAGGTATATACATATCTGTAGTATCAGTTTTGCCTTAAAGTTATTTCGTTGTTTACGGTATCGTACCTTCAAAAGTTGATTAAGTCTTCAGTTTCTCTTCCCTTTTCCCTTTGATTTCATCATTTAACCGCAAATACGTTGGGTGCGTATTGCTTTATTTGAAAGCTGCTAAAATGCAGTGCATTTGTTCAGCTTCTGTTGGCAAGACTTCCCATTCTGATTGTTTTTTTTTTCGACGAGAACTAAGAAAAACATGGAAATGAGCTTTTGTGAAGTGCGCAGTTTTGAATTGTTGTAGGACAAACAGGCTGGCGATGATGAAGCACAGTTGATTGATGAAAACTTCTGCACAGCATTAGGTTACGGACTTCCGCCAACGGCTGGCTGGGGCATGGGCATTGACCGTCTGGCAATGCTTCTTACTGACAGTAATAATATCAAGGTAAATGCAGTTGTTGTCTCTATTAGTATAATTTGAGCTTTCATATATTTTATTTAAAAATATGTCGTATTAGTACGTCAGTTCCTTCGGTTCCCCTCCAGTCTTATTTTGTTACTTTTCTTCATTATTCTTATCTCTGGAGGACGGATTCTGGGATGTTTTTGGGTACGTCCTCTCCTTTGCTGTACTGTTAGAGTCACATCTTACGCTGGTATGGTGAATTTCTTTATTTGCTACACGTGGAAGTTCATCATTTTATTCAAGTTCACTAAATTCTTACCAGTTAACTCATCTTGTCTTGAAAAGAGAAAGAAGTGCACATTTTTAATCAAATTAATTTTTTAAGCATTGTTTAGTTAGTGCAGCATTTCTTACTTTCTTTTTGCTTTTGTCAAGCTTGTGTTAATTATTTGAAGCGACCTTCTTCTTGCCTGTTTACTGACGCATCACTTCTGTTTGTGGTGAATCAGATTCTTTAGCTGCTCTCAGTGTCATACCAAACAACTTGCATTTTTTACAGGAGGTGATTCTTTTCCCTGCAATGCGACCGGACGAGCAAAAAGCGGGCTGCATTCCTGTTGACGATGAGTAGCCCAATAGCGAACTTGTTCGAATATTGTAATCCGTGACTCTGCTGGCATTATTACAGCTTGTTTGAAGCTAGCTAGATGGAGACCGTTCCGCAAATTTTAGAATTCACGACCGTTGTTTGTTACTTGTTTGTTAACTTCTCTCACTTTCTTGGGAAGCTAAATTGTCTTCACTTGTCGTTTCTTCCCTGGTTGTTCCCCGCATGTGTTGCGAGGTTACCAATGTGCGAGTAAGAAAGTTAGTAAGAAAAGATTGCCACAAGTTCAACAGGTTTAATTTATTGCTCCTGACAAATAATTAAGAATTAGCTGTCTACCAAAGAGGGAATTTAGGACGTTTTTGAGTTGCACTATTGAAGCCTTCAAAGAAAGATTCATCTCGCATATGGTTTCCACTTCCTCTTAGCTTTCCTGCTCACAGCGATTCCTGGTGACGAGGTTATCGGCAACAACTCTCTTCCAGTTACGCAGCCGCTTTCATCTCCCATAATTAAGAGGCGGTCAGCAGCATTAAAAAGACTACATCTTATCAGGTCTTCGTGACCGCCAAAGCTTCTGGGGTCGCAAACCTAGGTAATCCCGTATAAGAATGGAGGTAATTGGTTCACGAGTTTAATCAGAAATACCTGGTATTATATTTTTTCAAATTCAAAATTGAGTAAAAAGTGTACAATTTGCAGAGACAAGTGGTCCAATCTGCAATGCGAAGTTGGTTGGATTTGCCTGGATTTTAAGCCTAAGCTGTTTTTTAGCCACCACATAGCACCTAGTCAATGAAATTCTCATCAAAATTACTCAAATAACTACATTTGAAGCGGTATTTATGATCCGGAAGTAGTGCCACCTAAAACGCAAAATACCTTTTTCCCTTCTGTTGAGTAATAATTCACAGTAGCAAGACCAAAAGCTGTACTGGAAAGAGAGCATATTGTATCTTCGTTTATATCGAGAATGTCTACGAGGAATTCTCCATTAACGGTATTTTTTCTGGAAAAATTCACGGGTAATGAACTTCCATATATCTCACTGTACGAAAAAAAGGCACTAACTTGAAGGTTACATCAATGTCGTCAGGTTTATTCAAGCGGAAGACCTGGAATCTGTTGTCGTCTGAAGTTGCATAAGCCCGAGAAGATGACAAGAAATTAACATGACTAACAGAGGACCCGAGCTAAACAATAAGAGATATCTACCACTGGCCAGAGTGGAAAAACTTTGCCACAACAAAAGAGAACAATTTTCAAAAGCTTTTTGTTTTTTCGGATAACATGTCGAGTAAGTAATAGTTTGGGTGCTAATAGTATCTAATCACAAAACACCCAACTACGACAACTCATTAAAAACCATCAAAGGATTGACTAACGTCTCAGATTGGGTCAGTGTTGCCAAAAGTTCGAACTTAATGCGTTCAAAATATCTAAAGCAAATTAAATCTGCCGTACTTGAAGACGTTTTAATTTACCTGACTTGAAGACTGGAGTGCATCATCAGTTTCTTTGATCGATACATCGATAATGTTAACAAGACCGTTAGCGTCTCCAGACATCAGAAGATTGGGATTTTCAGCACTAAAACTAAGTGCCTGCAAATACTAGGCTCGAGACTCTGAGGGGCGATATCAGAAATACAGTTTAGGCGATTTATAGTTTTTAGTCCACTATATTGTGGTGGGTTTGAAAAAGAACTTCCGCAAACAGTAAGGCTCGTTGTGTTGCAAACTTTCTTTCACCTGACCTGAATACTGTCGCTGTGATACTCACTGTACGAATGCAAAGCCGAATTCGTGTTTCGTATATCCCAAATTTCAATGTAGTCCGTAAGAAGCTGGAAATTTTAGTATTGTTCACGGGTTAGATCTTGAAGATTTCTGTGGAGTAAAATATTAACGAGTATTGAGCCCTTCATCTGCACTTTTCGGAAATCGTAGCTGTTTGATTACAATGCGAACCACCTGACCTCGTCTTCAGAGTCTAAGCTTTTATTCTTCTTTCCCTCGTTTTTCTTTTTTTTAATTATTTCATGGGAATCCGCTGTCCCCAATGCAACTGTATGCTCATCTT